TTAAGAAACCTATTTAGTGTATAACGCTCGTTAAACATAAAGGTCAATGATCAATTAATACAGCAGGATCCTATTTAACATTCGAAAAACTTCCAAAATTAATAAATATTCTTTTCGAGACAGATAAAGAAGTCAAATTAATCACATTTGCCACTAATAGAGTCATTATAAATAAAAACTTGTTAAACAAATCTACATTTCGCCTACATATATATTTAACAATGGTGCTGTTGTATAGAAAAGATGTATGATGATGATTTCATCATAATCAAGAATATTAACACTTGCTAGTATAGATCTACTGTATTTACGCTATATTTAACGGATATTAAGAATCTAATAAAAGTATATAATTATAGTTTAGTAGTAGTATCTACAGAGTGGATGAATATGAACGTACCAAAATCTAGCAATGTTTTGGAAGCGTAAAATAAAAATAACTAATGTTATGAAATTAACGAATATAATTATTGTACCTTAATGAATAACTGCAAAAATTTAAAAAAAAACAAAAATCTTACGAAACAGATTATATAATAAAAAAAATTTCTTAAATTTTGAGATAATTTCTGAATGTAACAACAATTCATATAAAAATCACCTTCATGTTCATCTTTCTAGTCGAAAATTGGAGATTAATATGACAATGTTGATCGTATTTGCAGCTGCTCCAAATAAATATTTCGTGTAAACATAAACGAACCTCTAAATCTCTTTATACAAGAAGTTCTTCTTCCTTTACTCCTTCTGTCCTATTTTACCTTTCATTTTGTTTTCTATTAACCTAAATTTAGATTATTTTCAACGCAAAGTTTTTTACGTTTTAAGTGTGTTGATTATTTCCATATATTTCTGAAATATTTCACATTTCTATAAATCTCAAAGTTTCCAATTCTTGCATCCTTTTAATGATGGCATACGGTCTGGAGATAGTTATTACGTTGATTATAAAAACCGCCAACAAACTCAGAGTAGCACAGCGCGCAGTAGATCGACTTGTACTACGAAAAACTTTAAAAGATCGCGTCCGCAAAAAAATTACGTAAAAGAAGAAAAGTAGAAGATATAAGACAATAAGCTGCTGGATTAAAGTGGTATTGGGCAGGAAATGTTGCCAAATAAGATGATACCAGACTAAAGGCATCGTACAATGGATAACCAGATTACATAAGAGAAGTGTGAGTCGACCTCCTAAATATAGCTTTTTGTAATTTAGTTACCCAAATATAGACGTTTTCATCTTTCTTGGCGTGTGCGTGTAAAAACACTTGCAATAAGTTGTTTCATCTGTCTTTCCTTGTCTAAGCTCAATTCGTTTACCTTCTCCAGTGGCAGCTATCTGTATTCGTAAAGATGCCGAACTTATCACCGACACCGTATTGGCCAAACACATCGGTGTTATTGCTACAATACTGGAAGACGTGAGTGGTCTCTTCATTCCTTTCTCATCGCACTTTATCATGACAAACGTGACTCGCACAATTGAATTACGCATTTGTGTATCAGAGCGAGACGAATATTAAAAATTCCGTAGTAGCTTATTTCAGGCACACGCCAAGAACGATGAAACCGAGTTTATCTATTTTTATTTACTCTCTCAATAGGTGTATTATTTAAACAAGGATTCTTTTTATCAATCGTGTCAAACGCAATTTCAAACTCTACAATTGCTTGAAGGGTCTCTTAAAAAGTCGACTCGCTATATAAATTTAACAAAAGTGACGTTTAAACATCTGAAATTATGTGTTTAACTGTAATCCTAGTTAAATTTTGTCGAATGCTTCCTCAAAGTCCATAAAATATAAAAACATTTTGATTCAAGTCTAATAACAATTTAGGTTTTTAAAATCATATAGTTTAGAGATATTTTAATTTAGGCAGATATTTATTATTAAAAAATGTTAGAGTAATACTTATCATCGGAACAGTCGTTAGAGATAGACTTTTGGGTAAGTAACGAATATAAATTTTTTTTACCGGTTTTCATCCGTCTTACGCCTTCCGGTTCCTAGTTTATATTATCGCTTGTTCTAATCTACGGCTCTAAGATTCTTCCCCGACATTGCCATTTGAACGCATCCTACCCATAACTCTCTTGGTCTTCCCCTTTTCCTTCTTTTAACTAGTACCCATTTGATTATTTGCTTAGGAAGTCATCTACTATTCATTATTTGGACATACCACATAACTTATATTCTTTCAGTTTCTTCGATAATAGCTGTTGAGACTGTTGCACTAATCGTTGACTATTTTTTCAGCATCGATTTTTTGGCAGATCTTCGCCAGAAGTCTATTTCTAAGGACATTAAGTGAAGTTCTAGAGATTTGTTTAGTCGCCATGTTTCGCATCCATAAATTATTACGATACTTTTAAGAATTGAGTTAAATGGAAAGTGTTTTCATTCTCAAGATATATCTTTGCACCAGTAGTGAATTTAAACATTCTATAAACTGTTTCCCTGTTATTATGATTTTTTCTATTTTCTTTTTAGTGCGGTCACTACGGTAAATTTTTATGTCCAAATATGTGGAGTACTACAAACTTTAATTACAGTCTTATCATATATGATCAGGTTTCCTGTTGGGTTCGCAATGTACAGGTATTGTGCTTTTCAGCGAATCACGTACAGATTCCAATAATTTTATTTAAATTTAATTCAAATCGGAAAAATGAAACGAACTTTTAAAACCGCCAACTGGGGCACAAAAAATATTTTAAATAAAACTACCTTTCCCATTAGTAAAACAATCAGCCATTCAATGGAAAGTTTAAAATTTTATGTATTTAAAATAAAAGCTTAAATATATAAAGAAATTTTTAACGTCGGAAGTCAATCAGTTAAAAAAGTTGACAGCGCTTCCAATGATCATCTTGGGATAAATTGTTCTCCCTATCCAAATCAAAACATATGGCGGTATTTAATTAATTGTTTTTTATGAATATTAAATATTATAAACACTCAGAAATTATACGGAAAATACGTATTACAAGCGCATTTCTTGTAATTCATATTTTATATTTACCACTTATTTTATGTATTTTTCATATATTCGATAAATTGATTGTTTTTACTCATACCTTATTAAAATGTAGAACTATTGTTCTTAAAAATATATATTTTACACAAAATTAAATAACTATTAAATATTTTTTTGGAACTTTGTCAATTACCTATAAATATTTTGCTATTGAGTAAAATATAGGATGATTCTTAAAAAGTTGTATATGTTACGGTTAAAACACGAATATTAGATAATACATCCTAGAATTACCGGGATAGTGTTAGAATTAGTTAGAACCCAAGCATAGTGGAGAAAGCTACGTTATTACTGAATATTCTGTTGTATTCTGGATTTGCCCGGTTAATACTTTATTATTCTCTTCAAATAAATATAAATTTCTAATTTAGAGTAAAAATGAATATGATGATCTCATGCTGGAGTGCTCGAGTGCTCGAGCTCTTTCAAGTTATATCTGTTGGAAATAATTTTGTAGTAGATTCTTAATAAAAAAAAGAAAGCTAATAAAATTTAAAAATAAGTAGTGATATTTATACCCAAGTTTAAAATGCACTGATCTATCCGTTTGACATTGGATATATCTAGAATGACCTGCATAAATCAAGAAGTTATTATCTCCTTTGCCTTTTATCCAGGCAATTTGAAAAATAGGCAAAGTATCCAGGTAAAACTAGTTTTATCCAGTTTCGGGGTATATCCATAACATATACATGACCCCAAACAAATTTTATACCAAATTTATACTTTTATATTTTTCATAAAATATATGTATCTACTTATTGCAATAATAAAAGCTGTCAAAAAATTCTGATAAACCCTCAAATATAATAGTAATTAACATCAATAGTCTGGTAAATGCATTGTAACGGTTCACGTAGATACCAACTGAAACGATTAGGGAACTGAGTCTGCAAGTACCGTTAAAATCGATAATGATGAATGTGTAAAGTTTATATATACATATACCAAGTTCATGTACTAATTTGATTTTGTTTCAAAACCACTACTGTATATTGTCTTTCAACTTTCAAAACAAACTTTATTTTTGGTTTTCATATATTATATTCACAAAAATGGAGTTTTAATTGAATTTTATTTGACGTTTCTTCCTCCTCATTAGTTCATTCGCCTCTACCTGTAACTTGACGTTTTATTTGACATAAAACAATCGAAAACAACATATTTTGTAATATATGATCAGTCATCCATTCTTTTTTTTTTGTGTTTTTGATGCTGGTTGAATATTTTCGTTTGTAATTTTAGTTAAAAGTTCTCCAATGTTTTTTCAGCAAATACGAATTCCCGAAGTCGTAGATTCATCTTCTTAAGTTTTGTTTGGTTGTACAAACTAATTTTTTTAAGCTTTTAGTATAATTTCTGTGTTGGCGACTAAAGAATTTTGATCTGAATTTATATTAGTTCTCGGGTATGTTTTAACACTTTTTACTACTCTGCGGAATATTTTGTGGATACGAATATAATCAATCTGGTTCTGAACTATATTGTTGTGTTACACACACTTAATTGTGTTTTTGTGCTTTAGCAAGCAAGTAATCAATTTAATTAAACTCAGCCTGTGAATGTTCACCCCTAAGAATTACGTTTGGGTGTCACAATTCATTGGAGCGAGGTGTATTAACTCAAATAAAAACAGGAGTCACTCCACCGCGCTCCAATGCTCCACACCAGTGGTTCCCAACTTTTTCCCATGATCGCCCCCTTAAACAGAAGGTTTCACCAGTTATGAATACTACAATCGCCCCCCACCCCACCCAATTAAATGGAAACAAATAATAAATATATAACTATAAAAGGTAAGTATCCATATTTATTTATTTTACGTTTCGTAAAATGATAAAGAATTGTTAATGGCTTCCGTGGGCCTGGTGTCTTTCACATAATTTCTTTATGTCTGGCTCAATGTTGGTTAATAACAACCTCAAATCCCCTCTTTCTATTATGTCGAGCCTATTTCTTTGTCAGTTTTTCAATATACACACAAAACTAAAACCTTCCTCCACTAGATATGTTGTGATAAAAGAATTGATAAACCAAGTTGGCACTTTTAGACTAGTTAAATCTTGGAATCGGGACTGCAGATCTTCTTTTAGTGTTTGAAGGTAGAGGCAGTATGTTTGAAAATCCTCAGAACCACCACAAGAAGATTTCAAGTTGAGGAATTTGGTCAGATCTTTTCTCTGCATATTTTCTTCAAAAATAGATAATTTGTCAATGAATGCTCCGACTACACCCTTCGCTTTGGCCAAATTTATGTTCTTTCCCTGTAGTTGCAGGTTCATTTTATTTAATTTTTGAAAACTATCTGATAACTACTGCACAATACAAAACTCGGGAACAAAAGACTCCGCATTTGAAGTGACGACAATCTCGGCCGTTCGCTTTTTGTTCGAGTCAGATCGGCAGGAGCGCTACCTACTTTTCATCATTCTTATACCATTTCGCTATCTTTCTCTTTTGTGCGGATAAGGCACAATACGAAAGCTCGATCAAAGGAAAATGCAGAATTTGGTATAATGTATAATTATAACGATAATGTATGGAATTAAATTGTATTATGAATCATAGCTCTCTGTGACTAGACGAGATGTTTGTGTTATTACTACCTGCATTGGTATACATATATTTACTTTTTATTATCCTATGGAGATCCGATCGAAAGTATTGTATTTTTTTTCTTTTCTTGTTTTCCTCAATTACCCATTACTCGTTTTCCGGATGCTAAACGCCCTCCTTATCGCCCCCTTATCTCTGTCGCCCCCCATATCGCCACCTTCGCTCTATCGCCCCCTGAATATTTTAAATTGCCCCTTGGAGGACGATCGCCCCCCGGTTGGGAATCACTGCTACAGACAATCTTTAACCGTATAGCACTCTGATGCGCGATAGAGGCACAACTATTAGCCAAATGCTCTTCATGTGGGAGTTCTGGGTAATAAAACTCAAAATCAGGACAGCGCGGAGCGCGGACTTTGATACTTAGTAATGTCGAACTCTTTTGTAAGCGATATCAGTATGAATGGTAAGCGATAATTATTATTGTAATTAGAAATTATGACATTTTTAATTTTTTGAGTGATTTTGAGCTAAAATAACGTTAGTTAAACTACGTTTGGTTCACTTTATCCCTAAACTCGCAGAGAAACGTAACAACAATATATTGTGTATGCCGCAGCGATGTCCAAGTATACAGCTTCCTGGTGTTATTATATAGTAAGTAAATTATGTATTTGTGGCTACTATTTCTTTTTACTGGCAGAAGTCGATTAGCCTACCACTCCAGTTATCTCTCTATCTCGCAGGCCATATTCTTTCATTGGATGTCTCACTCTTTCTCTACCAATATTGGCGTTAAAGTGATAATAATGTTCACTTAATGTTGTTATCTTCGTCAGTATATGTCAGTATATTTAAATATTAATCTTTCTAATTGTTTTTCCGATGTATCTGCTATGGGTGCATATAATATTAACATTAAAGTACGAATTAACAAGCTGTATTAAAGATATTGATCAAAGAGGGGTACAAAGTTAATCCGTATTAATAATACGAATTTATTGATTTCATCGCTTAACAATACACTCATTTCGTTACGGTGGTCAGAGTTATTATTACCAGAATATTAAAGCGATTTATATGATTTATTGTAAATTGCACTAACGTATATTTAATAAACTTTTCAAAAAGTTAAAACAAATTATACTGGATATAACAACGGATAAACGATATATAAATTTAGTATAATCGCTCCATATGGCGGCGAGGCATCATTAACGTTAACATAAATGCATAAATTCAAAGCTACACAAGATTTGCTTCTAGTATATGTAAATTTAATCTAAATTTATTTTAAAAAATGTCATCTTGTTTAAGAATCATCCTATTTAGAGTACCTTAAGACTAAAAATATCAACAGTTTGCTATTGCACAAATGATCCATATCTTCTAATATTGCACAGTATTTTTCCCGACCTGATAGGAATAACAATACGTTAATTTCCAATAAATAATATAAATTAAATAAATAACATTCTTACAATATAAATAATTTAATAAAATGGTTTCTAGTAGTAGTTTTTAATATTGTTAAATATTAAAATCGTGAATAATTTCATACACAAAAAAAGTAAAGATTTCATACATTTTTAATTATTTTTTAAGTATATTGTTTTCACGTCCCCAAACAATAAAAACAAAATAAATACATATAAAAATAAATATAGAAATAGTAATAAATAGTAATAGTGATATCTCATGTATGTCTGTTTAATTTCGATAAAATTTCTTTTTAACCCTTAACGAGTCGCTACATGGTCAAAAAGACCGCACTTATTAAAAATTGCTAATATTTCGGAAAAAAATTACATTTGGCAACCACGGCCTTCAGTAGCTTACTCATTCGATACAAGCAAAGAATATAGACGCTTATAAGCGTCTATATTCTTTGATACAAGGACAGAAAGGAGAAGGAGCCTTAGTCCTCAGTACTAAATCAGAGTACTTAGCAGAGATTTGTTGATTAGGAGTTACAGCGCAAAGCTCATAATTTCCACGCGCGTCTAGTCAGCTAAAAAGTTTTTATAAATCGATTTATTATGTTTTCTATCACCTTAAGGTATGTATAAACTCTAGTTTTTATAAATAATATACTTTTGTCTTATTGTTTACTAACCTTTTGAATATACCTCTCTTTCTTTTACTAAATCAAATTTTAAATTACTTTGCAGCAAAATACTATTACGATATTTCGTAATTTTCTTTGTTCTATTATTGAGAATCAAATATTAATTTTTTCTAAATGTTAAGCTACAACAAACTTTTATATATAACTTGTTTGGCTTTATTTTTAGAAAGAACAAACAAGCGAGACAGTTCTTGAAAGGAGTTTCAGATATCAAGACCGGGTACCAAGCAAGATCAGAAAACTTTCTTTAAAACGACAGTGAGCAGCTTATCACGGATGACAAGGAAATCCTAAAAACCTAGAAGGAATACTTCTTTCAACTATTGAATGTCCAATCTAGCAAAAATATATCAAACATAGAGGTACACACAGCTGAAATAGAAGACCAATACCCGACATACGAAGAAGTAATACAGGCAATTAAAAAACTTAAAAATAATAAGACACCAGGTAGCGATGGTATACCCGCAGAGTGCTTAAAACATGGAGGTGAAGCGTTGTACAGTTCGATATACAAGCTAATTCAAGACATTTGTCAAGAAGAAACAATGCCAGATGAATGAAAAGAATGGGTTATTGTACCAATACATAAAAAGGAAACAAAAAGCAATGTATTAACTACAGGGGAATAACACTCCTAAACACCACCTACAAAATCCTTGCAAACATTCTGCTAGAAAGAACCAAAACATACACAGAAGAAATCGTTGGAAAATATCAATGCGGATTTAGACCGGGCCACTCTACTATTGACCAGATATTCACAATTAAACAGATAATGGAAAAATGATTTAAAATAGATAAAAAAATAGATTTTAAACAAGCATTTGATAGAGTATGTAGGAACAGACTGTGGACAGCGATGCAGGAATTTGGCTTTCCAAAAATCTAGTCAGGTTGATACGGATGTGTATAGAACGGTTACGATGTAAGGTGAGAGTTGGACAAAAATACACGGAGACATTTGAAATAAACAATGGACTAAAATTGAGAGATGCACTTTCACCACAACTCTTCAACTTAGCTCTGGAGCACATAATCAGAAGTGCAAGAATCAAAAAACCGAATACAGTATTTCATCGAGAAGGACCAAACTTACTACTGGCATTTACAGACGATATAGATCTAATAGGAAACATACGATTAAGGATGAAGGACACTTTCGTAAGGTTTTAAAAGGAAACAAAGAAAATGGGGCTCCAAATCAACGAAAACAAGACGAAATATATGTATATGAGCCGCAATAAATGGATGAAGCATCAGGACAATATAGGATAAGAACTAACAAAGTGCTTGAAGAACTTTACCCAGACGCCAACATCATAAAAGAAATAAAGTCCAGAATACTCCGATGGGCAGAAGACCTCAGAAGAAAGACATTCTGACGAACGAATAGTAAGACTGGTATGGGAGGAAGTCCCAACTGGAAGGAGACCACGCGGACGCCCTCGTCTCCAGTGGGGAGATAATATAGCAAGAGACCTAAGCACTATGGGCGTAGAGAATTGGATGGAGGTTGCTCAAGAAAGCAAGAAAACAGTGGAGGCATGTTGTCGAATCGGCTAAAACCCACGAAGGGTTGTAACGCCACGGAGTAAGTAAGTAAGTAAGTAAGTTATACCAAAATTCAAAATGTACTGCTTTATTCATTTGACAATAGGTATATCTAGAATGACTCGAATAAATCAAAAAGTAGTTAATCACCTTTGCTTTTTATTTAGCAAATTTGGATAATACGGAAAGATCTTTTGATAGGATTATCCTATCGACAAAAATTCAAATGCATTTTAAAGATGAAACGTGCAGGTTCCTTATAAAATTTTTGTATATTGCCGAAAATAAAGTCACTTTCTACAAAGGTGTTAAATAAATAAACGTTTAGCGATTTTTACCATTTTTTATGATTCTCATGAGATCAATAAATTTTATCACTTCCATTGACCGTTCACTAAAGAATTTTCATTGTTACAACCCAGTCTTCCAAACATATAGCTAGGTTTGGCAACAAATGTGAGACACTTAAAATATAAAAATCCACAAGGAAAAAATTCCTGTAGCTGGCTGTATACCACGTATCACAAAAAGAGGTTAGTCTTTGTAAATGGGTATATTTATTTAAAAAACCCTTAAAAGGGCTACATCAATAAAACAAACGTTTTCGGACCACACAGTCCATCATCAGGTTTTAAAATCGAAAAATGCCTAAAAATAAGTATGAACCATTTAGTTTAAACAAACGAGATTATGAAATTTTGACTATGGTTGAAAAGCAAAAGATGGTTATACTTACTAGGTCACAATGCCTGAGCCACCAAAATACTAGGGTAAAAACCCTTTAAATTACATTTAGTTATAAAAGATTATACATTGTGTTGTAAAATAACTGTGATGTTCAGTACTAAATTAAATTTGACTAGAGGTAACACATGGCTGAATCGAGTTTCAGAGCCGGTGAGAGAGAACCTCTACACGCGAAGAACAGCTGGGAACTGATTGACAAGATACTTATGAAGGATGACGAAAACAAAATGTCAATGCAACAAAAACTATATTAGTTGTACATAGTATTACTACAGCCAAAAGATTCAACAAGTTTTG